AGCTAAGTAACAAAGCGTAGCGTAAGGCCCTGAGCTTCCAAGCTCTCTCGTTTGGTATTTGTTTGTTTGTGTGTTTGTTTGTTTGTTTGTGTCACGCCTGGCGCTATCCCATATCTGACGGCAAAAAATCAAAGGGATGTTATAAATTTTTCAATTCTCCTATTTTTTTCAGGCATATCCTGGGATTCGAACCCGCACTACCGCCCTACATGCATTCCCCCATACACTTCGCATTCATACCCATTCTTCCAAGTTGCTTCACGTTATGATCTTGCGTTTGAAAGCCCTATTTGAATATTGCGGGCAGCTGTATGTGGCCAGCTATATCCCTACCGTACCGTACCAGCAAAGACGGCTGGCCACAATGCATATTCAAATAGGGCTTTCAAATGCAAGATCATAATGTAAAGCAACTTGGAAGAATTAGTATGTATGCGAAGTGTATCGGGGGATGCATGCAGGGCGCGATAGAGCGGGTTCGAATCCCAGGTTATGTCTTAAAAAAAAAAAGGAATTTTTCAAAGACCGGGTGATGCATGCAGGGCGCGATAGTGCGGGTTTGAATCCCAGGTTATGTCTTAAAAAAAAGGAATTTTTTAAAGACCGGGGGATGCATGCAGGGCGCGATAGTGCGGGTTCGAATCCCAGGTTATGTCTTAAAAAAAGGATTTTTTCAAAGACCGGGGGATGCATGCAGCTCGCGATAGTGCGGGTTCAAATCCCAGGTTATGTTTTTACAAAAAAGGAATATTTTAAAGAATTTATAACATCCCTATGCTTTTTTTTGTCTAGGTCATCAAGGCAAAAAAGCATAGCGTAGGGCCCTGAGCTTCCAAGCTCTCTCGTTTTTTATATTTGTTAAAGAAAGCAATCCTTGGGTTTCCACATTCTTCCAAGTATTTATTGCTTGATTGTCCAAACGAAGAAATGAATAAGCCATTCTCTTCTAACACCCATACACGCGCCCAGTAATAACAACTCTATGATATCCATTATCACATTCATCGCTGAAAACGTCGCTTCTCTGAAACATTGAACATCGCAAACTCACATTTTATATGAAGTGTCCTGGAATTCCGCTTGCCACATTTTATGTGACCAAACTTAAAAATTCCTCGTGTTCGGTATTTTAAATAAAACTACCTTTTGTTTTATCGTTGCAGCACACATTATAACACGTTACCTTTGAGAAGAGCGGGCACAATATTAAAGCAAAATACTGTGCGTTTAGGCAGGCGTTGCATGAGGTAGGATGGTGAGGTGCTGTGTACTCCCCGAACTCTAGATAAAAGCTCACAGTAAATCCGACCCTGTAGGAAGTACATGTACGTTTAGCAGCTGCGATTGAACTGCTTTCCTCGCACATTTTTACTTGCTGTGACACTGTGCTTGTTATGCTTCAGTCCTGCTCTCTCTGTGCTATGCCCCTGATAGAAAAAAATCACTTGGCATGATACTAGCGGACTGGTATAACTCTGCTGGTTTCTTTTTCATGCAGGTCAAGCTGTGTAATAACTCTGCAAGATTTAAACTTGAGTTATTCTCCCCATTTGTAATTGGTGTCTAAAGCATTGATGAAGTTTTCGACAGTTACCAATATTTTTGTATCCACGTGCCCTGTATAGTTGTAAATGGGAAGGCTGTTGGTGTTCGCAATGAAGCGGTGTTATAGCTAGATATCAGGTCGTCGAATGTCAGTTGTCCGTCAGTGTTGTGCCCATTTCTCGCACCTTCTGACTGATTACAACCGGTATCTGGTTTAATACAGTGTTGGACATTGACTCATATTAAACTTGTTCCCATGTGTCCTGTACCATTTTAGTAATATCGCGTGATATTTTGTGGCAACAGACATCCATTCTTTTCATACAAGGCGAAATCTTCGCATTAGCCGCGCCTTACAAGCAAAGCCATGAACGCCCTCAGCAAGCATCCACCTGTTTGGAGAGCGGTGACAGACCCCTGGCGATATGTTAGAAAACTGCGTATTGGAAGCCTGAATGCATTTATAGTCGTCAGCGGGATGGACATTTGGTCTTCGAAAATTTATTCTTACGCATAAGTATCTGTAACATTCGAATGGCCATGGAATCTGGGAAACAGCGAAGCCATGAACACCCTTAGCCCGTATTCAGCTGGCGGGAGAGCGGCGACAGACCTGTGGGGATATCATATTTTGGAAAATTGTTGATTTGCTAGAAGACTGAACACAGTTCTGGTTTTCATTCTGCGAAACAGCGAAGCCATGAACACCCTTAGCCCGTATTCAGCTGGCGGGAGAGCGGCGACAGACCTGTGGGGATATCATATTTTGGAAAATTGTTGATTTGCTAGAAGACTGAACACAGGTCTGGTTTTCATGCTGTGAAACAGCGAAGCCATGAAAACCCTAAGCCCGTATTCAGCTGGCGGGAGAGCGACGACAGACCTGTGGGGATATTTTGGAAAATTGTTGATTTGCTAGAAGACTGAACACAGTTCTGGTTTTCATTCTGCGAAACAGCGAAGCCATGAACACCCTTAGCCCGTATTCAGCTGGCGGGAGAGCGGCGACAGACCTGTGGGGATATTTTTGAAAATTGTTGATTTGCTAGAAGACTGAACACAGTTCTGGTTTTCATTCTGATTGCAATCCTGTCACCGATATAACTACGTACACATAATCCCCTAGATTTTTTTAGTGTTTATTTGAATTCGGATAGCTCAACAGTACAGAAGTACAACTATAAAGAGTACCGAATAGAAGGCCCCGAGAACGGGAAACCAAAAACAAAACAAAAACAGCAACATCAATTTAGATGGGAAGTTTAGCATACAATTGCTATTTGGCAATGGGACTGGCTTGTAAATGTACACGTAAGACAAGCATAAGTAGATAGCAGTACACCAAGTTAAGGGAACGATAATACTACCCAAGCTGTGAGTAGACTTTGGCGTGGTGTTTGTTCAAATCTCACTTTTGGTACTGTGAATCGCAGTCAATCTTTAGCAGCCCAGTCGATGAAACAAGGCACTCTAAATGCCACCAGCGTTGAAGCGACCTCGAACGCCAGTATAAGTGAACACCCTAACGCCGTTTCAACCGCTGCACATTGGCACGTAAAATAACAAGAATTGCTGCACCAGAATACCATCCATCTGTTAGGCAATGTATTTTGAAAGATGAGATATTAATCAGGCCCTCATGGGGGCAGTGCGAAGGATATCCCTATTGCGTCAAGATAATACAGTGTAAAAAATGAAAAATAAATTCGACGGGTTCGCGTAACGGGCAGGTCAAGAACAAGGAGTCGTACAACTCCCTTGTCAAGAACCACCTTTCCGCTTCCGTGGGACGCCACCACCCCATGATCAGGCGTCAGATGCGGCTCCTAAACGGTGGGGGAGGATAGATCAGATCCACCAACCAGAGGCCAAAGGCCTCAATCCCATTTGCCACATCCATGTATTACTCATCCCAGGCCACGAGTTCCCAATTAACTGTGGGTCGCAGCACGGTTGGAAAAATCCTTCCGCTTCCAAGCAGGACTTGAACCTGGTACCTCTCGTTTCTCAATCATGGTCTTAGACCAACCCACTGTGCCTGCCTGCCTAAAGCATAACATGAATATTATTATCTTAGTATCAAAATGGAAACAAGGAAACCGGTGGGGCACAAGTAAAGTTATGCGTTAGAGTCCACCAACTTAACCAGGTTTTGAACAGTCTGACGTGCACAATGTAGCACCAGACTCACAAGGAGTACTGAAACATTCCACGGCAAGGAAGTGAGCTTGAGCACTGCTTGATAGCGCTATCCAACGGCCTTCCAACAGGGAAAAGTAAGTTATCGTGTCCGTTCCCGCAGGGAACTCACGACGGCCGCTAACACCCGGTGAATCCTAGCGGCAGATGCAGCGTCTAATGGTGGGGGTGAGTGGATAAGTCTCACAACCACTGGCACAAGTGCCGAGAAACCCCATTAGCTGCATCCATGTACCCCTTGGCCCTGGGCACAAGCTCCTAGTTGACTGTCGGTTGCAGCGCGGCCGGAGAACCGCTCCCAGGCAGGCCCTGAACCAGGTACCTCTCGTATCTCAATCATGGTCTTTGACTAACCCACTTTGCCTGTGGAAGGTTCATTGATATTAGTGATTATTAGTTGGAACGCCGTTGGTTAGCGCCATCGAGCAAGGTCAAGCTGGCTTCCCCAGCGTGGCTTGTCTCTGCACTCCTTGTCAGTCTGGTGCTACCTTGTGCACGTCTGACTGTTCAAAACCTGGCTTTTGGTGGACTCTTACGCATTACTTGTGCGCTATCGTTTTCCATGTTTCCATTACTTTAAAACCGGAAAGTCTAACGAGTCACAAAGTCTAACGTCCAATTATTTTTCGTTATTTAAAAAAACGTTTTCGCTAGAATCTGATGTCTGTGTAAAGATGCGCATACAGATGGGTGGCCAGGTAGCCATCGTTAAACTTTCTGCACGTAATCATGTCAAAATTACAAAAACGTTAAACTTTTTGGTCGTTAGACTTTCCGGTTTTACAATATTTTCCTTGGTTCACCATCTGAGTACTAGTAATACCCTTCGAATCAAGACACATGCATTGCATGTAGGGGCGACATCTTTGGTATTGCCAACCTAGTGCAGTTGAGAAGGTGCGAAATAGGGTGCAGAATGCAAGTCGACTGTAGAGAACTTGTGTGCAAGGAGAGCAGGATACAATTTCAGGGCTTTCCTCTGGTATCCTCACTACAAAATTACAATGCTATGAGTACACTGAGAACCAATTGATCATACTGCATTCATCCTACCAT